GGGTTATAAAAAGCGTAGTTAAGCATTAACTTAATCTAACTTAAGGTTTTGAGAAGTTTGGTTAGCCTTTTATATTCACAACAATGACAACTATATATACATACACGTGGACAAAACATACAATGATAAGTACATAAACTGTAAACATATATAAATATACATAAGCCAATCAATCGATAATTACCACTAGGTAGAGTAACTTTTATTTTCATTTGGTAGGATTATCCTTATGAGTAATTACGTAAGTATTATGCTTTTGTTATTGCATGGGCAGTTGCTTAAAATATGGTATGGATACGCTATAATTTTAATATGCATATAATTTTATATGTTATTATGATATAACATTAAGTTATAGAGTACACCATCCATACAAAATATCATGTATTTATAATATAAAAATGATTAAATCGTCAATTAAATCCCCTATACGTGCATTCAATGTGTTGTTCATATTCGATACATATTTAATAAGTGAAGCACCAAATATACGAGATTGTTAAATGTTAGTTCATTCATCATATTGTTTTTGTTAAGTGTTAAGTAAGTTATAAATTATTTAAAGTGAAATAAAAAGCGTTGCAAAACAACAATTTCCTTCTATATTTATTAAAAGTGGTTATTTTGCTTTCAACGCTTAAGCGCCCCTAGGCGATGCCTAACTGAGCTAGGCACTAGGCGAGGGCCCAACGCCAGTATGCCTAGCACCTTCTTGAACCTTTAGAGTTGCAATTGCTCAATTGCTTCCCTTAGTTTTTGGACATACGACTCCATCAGATTACTAATTTTCTTTGCACTTTCCTTTTAACTTGCGCTATCACTATACTTAATTCCAACTATAAGCCAAGTGCAACCTATATAGGGTGTAGGACAGGGGAAGTATTTTAATGTCTATCTACCCTTACTTTAATTGTTCAAATGTTATATATCTAGCGATCAGATTGTATTTAAAACTAAGAAGACCAAGCAAATTAAACAAGTGAGCAATTTGGTTTGTTTGCTGCTGCCTGCTGCCCCCACTTTCCTTTTCCGCCAATCAAGTTATCTTATCACCTACAATGAAAAGTCATATTATTACATGCAACACATTTAGCGTCGAATTATGCAAGTCTAAATTGTATAAGTAATTGTTGCTACCAGTCATCACTACAAGTATTTTCGGCAATAAGTTATGTGAAGAACACTCTTCGGAGTCGAATGAGTAATGACATCATAAATGGTTGATGGTAGGATACATTGAAAGTGACATTATTGATAGTTCGGATGATGAATTTATTTTACAACATTTTCAAAATACGAGAACACGTCATCATGGTTCATTATAAGAAATTAATAAAGTTCTTTTATTTTCGGACCCTCATATTGTAAAATTCTAGCTACACTAGTGAAGGAAAGAGACTTTTTAAAGAGACTGATCTGAGGAAGTCCATCCCGTGTGACTAGCACCAAGTAATATCTCAACTTTGAAAAGAGACTGAAAAGCAGAGTTGTCCACAAGAACATTGGCATGCATGCAATCCTCATTTGTTGAGAATTCGTCGAATGAACTTTATGTATTGCATCTATGACATATCATCCACTGGAATGAGCTATTGAAGACAAACATCATGCGTGTGTAATCCACTTAATAACACGTTAGGCATATGAAGGTCCTTCCGACTATTGGAGAACTTTGGGCAACCCACTATCTATGTTGCCCTCTCCCCCATGCAAGTGCACTTACTCATTCTACCTGATGTTCATATGGCGGACACCTTGGCTTGAATGGTTTTGTGAACCAAGCCTTTGTACTTATTGGTTCGGTCTAGCTTCACCAAGATTGTTCATCCCATTGTAGTGTGCACACAACTTTTCTTCATCAACAAGCTAAATACGTGGCCAATCTTGCAAGCCAGTGGACAACGAGCCACCTTGCACAATAACACTAGAGCTACCACTTGTCAGTTGTGTTGTATCCAATACCAGCATGAAGCATGGCAAGTCAATCTTCAAAAAGTCCAAGATTTACCATGTTGTACCCACAATATTGGATAACTAATTAGTATCCACTGTCATTACATCTTTTTTTGGTTTTGGGAACTTGATGTGTCTCTTATCAATCGCATCTTGCAATACATTACGAAAAATTACGCAACTAGTAGTACCATATGACATTATATTATGTCACTTCCAATAACGTTTCCTTTTTATATTCTTAGGTAGTGGTATATTATCTCCCCCAACAGGTTAATCTGACCATCCTTGTACAATTGGTCAAAAATTATATCCAACTTTGCAACGTCAAAAGAAAACTTTCTTTGCCGGATTGGGGCAGGATTGGATTTTCCAACTTATGGTTCATTCTTGCATTGGTTGAGGAAGCATATGGCCTTCCTTGGACAATTTTAACCAAACCTATCTCGACATTATTCAAATCCTAAGTAACATTGTTTATGGTATAATCAAAGTTACGATGGTAATGCCCTCTAGTGACACTCCTTCTATTCTCTTCTTCGTGTAGAAGAGCATCATACCTAAACGCACATGACATCACCTGGACTAAATCATAGAACTCCTTGTCCTAAAATATTTTACGAAGTTCAAAGTTTAAACCACTTTGTGGGAGCTTTGATAAATTTACATTCAGTCAAGTTGAAAAAACAACAATCACCTGTATTTTTTAATTTATCAAGAATTGTTCAACATTTTCCACTGGTTGTTGGCACATGGAATATTTGTTCCACATTTTTCAAGTTTGCACTGAATTGGATGGTATATTGACGTACCATGCAAAAGCAGGTTCTGTCAAGGAGTTGCCAAACAAACATAACTTGGCAAAGTCACCTACATCACCATATTGGACAGTGAATCGTCCAACATACTCTACTGTGAATTGATCACTTGTTCCATTGAAGGGTACAAACTCTGATACACTAAACCCTCTTGAGAATAGGTAGACATGTGACATTGGTTGCCTCATGCAAAACCCAAATTATCTAGCCAAAACCTATGTCATCTTATTACAATGTGTGTTGACATCATGACCCCCTTGTTTCCTCCCAAGCGGTATGAATCCACTGTGATCCATACCCTATATGTTTGCAGGGGTAGGACTTGTTGTGGGTACACTCGTGCTGGTATCCAGCCAACAATATTTGGACCAAAACTCATCCAAACAATAACAAGAGCAATGTATGATCTGACTTCTGGAATGTTTTCTCGAGCAACACCTTTCACAGGTGGTTACTTAACATGGATATGAGATGAAATAGTGTGATTCTTGCCAACATTCACTAGCTGAGGTGCTAGTGTGGGGATTGTCGCTGGTGGTACATGGTTCCCCATATGTGGCTGGTCATTTTGACTACTGTTGAGTGGAAGGTTAACATTTCACTTTCATGATTTGGTAAGTCTTGACCATCCAAAGACAAAAACCTAATTTGTATAAACTGGTCTATTCAACAATTTTCTAAACTCATCCAAATCATTCGTGATTTTTATTTACCATTTCAAGCAATTGATCAAATCGTCTATCAACACATGAACTAAGACCATCAAAATGCTCACCCAAAGAAGATAGATGAAGGTTTACCTGTTGGTTGCGTTGCTTAGTCCAACCACTAGTTGGCGAGTCTCCTCCATCATTTAGAAGAGTGGCGGTGTTGCTTCACTTGGATAAAGTTGAGCACCATGAGAAGCATTCTTGCTCCAACATTGTTCACTCGTACTTGGTCAACTTTAATGTTGACCATCTGCTCCTCCTTCACAGATGGGAGAATCACCATCCTGATTCCTTCATCGCGGAGCCATACATAAAATACATAATCCCCCTAGGTGTGCCAATTTATTTTTGGTGAATTTATTGTGATCAATGCACTCCGACTTAAAGAGAACATAAAACCATGTTACTTGGTTCAAGCCTCTTCATACATTGTTTGAACGAAGATGTTCAATGCATACATAAAAGGAATCTACATTTATCTACTACTGTTACCTCTACTCCTATGGAGAATCCTTAGAGCTCCACAAAAACTAACTATGACTACTAAGGATCCTTGTAGAAGGACTCTCGTAATACTGCTACTGCTATTGCTACTGTTCTAGAGAGAAAAAAGGGTTAATATTTTCGTATGGCCTGAACTTTGACCAAAATAAACATCCTGGGCAATCTTTTCGATCTATAACATCCTGGCCCGAACTATACACCAAAATAAACAATTTGGCCAGATCCGACTTTTGACCGTTAACTTGGACGGTCAAACGTGATCGTTAGTCAACGCGCCATGTCACTGCCAAATCAGCATAAAATATTTAAAATAATTCACAATTTTCACACGTTCCTTAATTTTAAATTATTATAAATTAAAAAATCATCTAATACCTTAGTTAAACCAAAAATAAAAAAATAAAAAAAAATTTAAATATTTATCAAATCTTCTTACTTGGCAGTGACGTGGCGCATTGACCGTTAGTCAACGCGTTTGACCGTCAAAGTTAACGGTCGAACAACGGGTTTGGCTAAATTGTTTATTTTGGTGTATAGTTCGGGCCAGGATGTTATAGATCGAAAAGATTGGCCAGAATATTTATTTTTGTGAAAGTTTAGGCCATGCAAAAATATTAACCTGAGAAAAAAACATAAATTTTGACTAGACATGTTGTGGTTTGATTTGTATGTCCCAGAAAAAATATAAATTTTGACCAGACTTGTTCTGGTTTGATTTGTATATCCCCTCCTCGAGAAGTTTGCTTCTAGTTCTATTGTACACAACTCTCTAATCGCTCTGTATCTCTCCTTCATGATATGTTGATATGTTATTTTCAACTTCAACTCTTATGTTTGGTGACAAGACAATTTCTTTCTTTTGCTGACCGGGTTATCTTTGACAAGTAAAGTGCATTAAACATGATGTGCTTGACTTAGACGGCTTAATAATGGCTTAATCTGCATAATCTACTGAATCCACTTAAACTCAGTTCACTAAGTCAACTGCCTATACCCTTTTCCTTTCCCAGCCGGGTATGGATCTTTAACCTTATTTAAATTAAATGGCATAAAATCTGATCTGTACGGTGAGTAACCCGGAAAAGACAAGGGTCTAAAGACTCTAAACCCTATAATAATGACTGGTGTTACATATACGAGCCATCAGACTACCCATTTCTTATGCTGCTATGGGTTCATCAGACCGCTGCCAGGACGAGGAAGATGTAGAACTCAACAAGGGAAACTTGTGATTATGTAAACAGGGTAGGTGAAAGAGAAGAGACTAATCCCGTCCCACTTGAGACTATACTAACCCACAATGTTGATGCTAACATCAAATTTACAAAAGGGTACACAGATGAGCCTAGCAACCAAAACTTAGTAGGTCAGGGAGAAGCAATAAAGGTCTATATCCCTAAACTTGTCTGTTATTCAATCAGGTAGTAAGTAATGAACTGTGTCTTCTGAGATCTAAAGCTTTACTGGGACTGAGACAATGGGGTTGCTAATCATCATTCTCCAAAGACATCACCGGGATCCCCTTACTAGAAAAGCTGGTACACGTAACTCGCAATTCATCACCAACTGCGTAGTCCGTCTTCCCACGATCCTGCTGCTGTACAATAAAAACAAACATGGTGAACAGAACATCGAAATCTGAAGAAAAAACTACATTAGTAAAGGGCATATCATATTTACCTCAAAGCGATACATTCCACGAACTCCACCTCCTAAATCAAGGACCAGGCCGAGCGCACGAATTTGATGAACTTTTGCAGTAACTGTAGTTCCAAGTTTGAGATTTTTCGCGCTTATGGGACCCTTGCCTTTTGATTCCTTAACATCTGAAAGGACACTAGAAGAGGTAGACAATGATGAACCATAATCCTTACTTCGCTTGGATTTAGATGGCCACAATGGAATAGAGGTGCTCTCGGGTCTTTTTTCCTCCTCGTCACACTCTGCAACACTCCGAATCCGAAAATCTGGTGAAGTAGAAGGGTTTTCCAATGTGCTTACAGCCTGTGCCAACAAGTCCGAAACCGATTTTGCGTCTAGCTGAGTGGATACACTGCTGGCCGAAGACTGGGCATTTGCTGTTGTCTCCTTGCTAACAATAAAATCACTGACATTGACCTCTGGTGTTCTGGCATTGACTTCAATTGATGCTGATTGAGGTGACATTCTCTTAAGGGATAATTTAATGTTGCCACGAACGTCCTGCTCTATGCACATCACAGAAATCGCCTGGCCGATGGATAAAATGTCTGAAATTCGTGTCACCTGGATGATAAAAAGCACGGATTTAGCATCAAACTGGAAGGGAAAGGAAGAGAAACTGGTCAAACCAATTGAACAGGCAAAAAGATGGCAGATAAGCATTGCCATTACATACCGGCTTATGTGACAATTCAGAAATATGCAACAGACCATACTGGCCACCACCAAACTCCACAAAGGCACCATATTCTTTTATTGAAGTTACAACACCCTTGTATATTCCACCAACTGTAATCTCCTGGCCAATGATGGAATCGACCTGAGCAACAGAGTAAAGAGGACACGGCCCTCGACTTATAACATGAAAGATATATCTAGCCACAATGAAGCAGCCTGAATGGAAATTAGTCGGGAACTACTTTACTTCTAGGCGAAGCATCAACATGAACACGTATTGAACAGAAGTATCACTCAAATAAGCATGTACCTTTTCGAGCACTTTGTCCATCACATTCTGATTCTTGGCAACTATTGTAAGTGTTTCATCACTAACTGACAGACGTGCACCTATGTTAAGCAAAAAAAGAACGCAACATTACGACATGATCATGTAGGCATTTTGTGTTGACAGTTCAGAGTGCCCGGTATAATTTCAAGCGAAAAAACCTGTTTCCTCCTCAATCTTTTTCCTAATTGCACCAAGAGGTCCGATCAAGCGACGAAGAGCATCATTGCTATACCTTAAGCTAGCTGTGAAACAAACCCAAAATTCAAGTTACCACACAAACATGCCAGTGCAGGGACAGTAAAGTGTGACAAGACAACAGACTTGGTGCAGAAAATTCTACCTAGTCGAGGAGCATTCCTGTCATCCTTAGAACGTGGAGTACTAATTTCTCTTTCCATATGCTCGAGAATCTGAAGACGACCTTTGCGTGCAGCTTCCAAACTCTCGCAAACAATATCCAATGGGATTCCTGCTGGCTTGATATCCAATTGAATTGCAGTAATACCACTCCGCGTTCCAGCAATCTTGAAGTCCATATCCCCCAAATGATCTTCCAGGCCCTGGGAAAATCCAATGATGATGCGAAGGAAAAAAATGAAAATGCCCTCAATATCTCAATAATTCAAGCAACCAATTGATAATCAAAACTTTAGGATAAAAAAAAAATAAGAATCTTAAGCTGCAAGCATCGACAGTAGCATCCACATAGAACTGACTGATATTCAAATAGTCCGCACAACGGAGATAGACACAAATCACATTTTCTTACCAAAATATCAGTCAATATCCGGTAGTCTTTAATTTCCCCAGTTGAGTCAACTTCACTAACAAGACCCACAGAAACACCTGCTACATGCTCTCGTACCGGAATACCAGCATCCATCAAAGCCATACTGCCTATTCGAATCAAAAGAAACATTTCAGTTGTCATGTCAAAGTTCCAAACTGAAGGTGGAGCCAAGGACACGGAAAAAGAATCAGACAAGCTGAGAAGCCAATTAATCAAGTACTTAAGCTTCAGGACAAAGTTCGTTAATCTACTGACATGGTCAATAGAACAAGTGCACAAGGCCTAACAGTCTGTAATGATGGTTAAATATACCTCCGCAAACAGTTGCCATAGACGTTGACCCATCAGACGCCATGACTTCTGAATTTATGCGAACAGTGAATTTGAACTCATCTTCTGGAGGTAAAACAGCTAGTAGCGCTTTTTCTGCAAGGGTTCCTGTAGAAATGAAGACAACCAAGCAGTAACCAGCTCAGACGCCTTGTTTTAAGGATTTAGGTATTTGGTATTGACGGTCCAGCAATTCAAAAGGATGGTTCAAGCATAAAAAGAACCAAGTACTTACCATGGCCAACCTCACGTCTGTTAAGCCCGGTCCGTTTACCAACTTCATTTATGCAGAATGGAGGAAAACTGTAGTGCAGCATGAAACGTTTTGTTGAGGGCCCAACAATAGCATCTAAGCGTTGAGCATCTTGGGGTGCTCCAAGTGTTACAGTACAAAGAACCTATGAAATAGACAAAACGCAACATAGTTCAGATGAAACAGGGAATATCCCAAATTTGGACCTGCGGAGCATTGATTATTCTGTTGTCTTTTTGTGTGGATGACCGCCTACAATTGGTCAACAAAGATATTGGAAAACATATACTCACCTGAGTGTCCCCCCGATTAAAAAGTGCTGATCCATGTAAAATGGGCAGATGCCCAGCCTCACAATAAATAGGCCTCACTTCATCAAGATGTCTCCCGTCAAGTCTGTATCCTTCAGTAATAATCCTCTTACGTACTACCTGACATAATGAAAAGCTAAACTTTATCACCTTGGCTGATTTAGTGGTGGGAAATGGGTTAAATATCAAACAAGACATCAATTTGCACAATTTTTCATTAACAGCTAGCACAACAGCCAACAGAGCAGCCAATGCAATAATCCTATCCTAGAAGACTTTTTGTTGTTTGTACTGATTTAGCATAGGTGCAGACAAAATTCATTAAAAAAAGCTTAGAACACATACATATAACAAGACAATATGAAAAAAGAAAGTCTTATAACCAAAGGTTAGTCCAGGTCGAGAAACAATGCGATAAATTAGGGAGAACAAATTACTAGTTTTTCCAGCAGATAACTTACCTGTTTTCTCACTGTGTCTATTGCCTTTGGAAGAATTTTTATGCTTTCCTCGTCACCTTCCTCTTCAAGTTGTTGTTTTACATCTTGCATGATATTCTCTAAGGCTTCTCCACGTTCAAACTAGATAGGCCAACAAAGGAGATATGCAATTAAGATCAGTACACCGATGCTTGAGCAAGGGAGCAGGAAAGGATCCATGATATCAACTGTGCTTATTCAAAAGACAACTCAAGTAAGTACCTTTCCATAAGAAGGATCAGTAAAGACAGCTCCAATTTTGGCTTCTGCCAATGCACCAACTTTTTCCAATGTCTTTTGTGACAACATAGATAGTGAATACTCCTTTTTCTGTTTTCCAGCTTTTGCCGCTAGTCTGATTTGGGGTTCAAGGTACTTCACTGCCTGGAAAGCAGATTCCAACATCTAATTACTTTCCATCAAACCCAACACAGAGACAAATAAGGAATGCAACCACTTACCTCAGGATGAGCCACTCTCAATCCAGCTTCAAGATCTTTCTCTGTGATCTCACGAGCTTGAACGTCAATCATTAAAGTTTTATCCTTGGTACATGCATACACTAAGTTGAGATCACTTAAGATCAGCTGCATCACACCCAAAAAATTCCATCTAGCACGTTAGATTCACCCACGACATCCTATACTCACACTACCAGTAACCAAGTTAGAGAATAACCTCCTCCATTGTGGGATTAACAATGAAGTGCCCATCAATTCTCCCAATTCGTATCATCCCAATGGGACCTCCCCAAGGAATATCAGATAACATCAGTGCAGCAGATGTTGCATTAGCTGCCATTACATCTGGATCATGTCTTCCGTCGGACGAAAGAACACTTGCCGTCACCTGTCCACAAACAGAAATAAACAGCAAAATTTTCACTCAAACAGGGCCAGGGGGGGGCCAAAGAAAAAGACATGCGCAATTAAGGTTCATGGTAACAATTATTACCTGAACCTCATGATAAAAACCAGTAGGGAACAGCGGACGAATTGGTCGATCAATAAGACGGCCACATAAAAGCTCCCTTTCTTTTGGAGCACCTTCCCTTCTCATGAAGGTAGTGGGAATTAAACTTTGTGCAAACTGTTTCTCTTGATAATCAACCTAGAATTCACACATCCATTACCAAATTGAAATTCAGTGGCTTTACTCCAGCTGGCGTTGGCGCCAAACTCGAGCAGGAAAACAACAAACAAACAGAGCACCAAATTGATGGAAGAGAGAATTAGGGTAGCGAACGTTACAGTGAGGGGCAGGAAGTCGCGGAGGGCGTCGCCTTTGGAGGCGGCGACGGTGGAAAGAACTTTGGTTTCTCCTGTGCCTAAAACGACGGCGCCATTAGCAAATCTGGCGATTTTGCCGGTTTCGAGGGTTATCAGGTTGGTGCCAACCTCGAATTCCTCCTTGAAGGATTCGAGGAGCTTGGTTCCGGCGACTGGGTGGTCGGGATCGGAGTGGGCGAAGCCGAGGCGGCCGCTGCAGATGGTGCGGAAGCGGAGGTGGGGCCATGTTAGGAAGGGAGGGAAAGACTTGAGAAGAGGATTAGCTCTGGCTGCGACGGCAGACATCAAACGAACAAGGGGTGGTTCAAATGGAGGAAGGGAAGGGAAGGAACAGTGGAGTTTTAGAGTAGAGTACGGAGGGTTTAAGGAGTTTCCCCCATTTTGAAAGATGATACTTTGGGGTTTAAGAGCTGCGATCTCCTACATTCAGGTACAACATCGTACTGCAAACTTTTCGGCAAAGCTTAGGCCCGGTTTAGGGGATTTTTCCAATAATAGCACCTTTAAAAAAAAATTATAAAAATAGCACCCATGTAAAAAAAAATTACAAAACTAGCACCTTATTTTTTGGAACGCACCCCTAAGATGCGTTTTAAATGTAAAACGCACCAAACAGATGCGATCTACATGTAAAACGCATCAGAGGGGTGCAATCCATAATATTAAACGCACCACACTGATGCGATTTGGGGAGGACGCGTTGCGATCCACCAGATCGTCGGATTGATAGCCGATCCAACGGCTCAGCGCACGCCAGCGGAGCGATCCGCGCCTTGGATCCCAGATCGCACGCCAGCAGTGCAATCCGCGCCGGTGTCAGTCAAACCGCATTGGGAGGGTGCAATCTACGCCTGGGGAAGCGGAAAACGCATTGGAAGAATGCGATCCGCGCGGGGCAAAATTACCGCCTCGTCCCTGGAGCCTGCGATCTGAAAAACTATAAATAGCCCCCCTCCCCCTCTCATTTCTTCACACCTTCAACCCATTCTTCCTTCTCTCTCTAAGTTTTATCTCTCTAAACCCTCCCCCTCCCAAAAGCCTAGGAAATAGTGGTCTATTGGTTGCGGCAAAGTCCGATCTGCCATTAGAAAACATTTCTTAGGTTTTTTCCTCAAAACCCGCCGAGCCGAAGCTCTGTCCGAATTCCGCCGAAAAAATGGCCGATTGGTGACAAGGAGAAGGAGTTTACCGTGATGAATTTGAAGCGGTACGTACTCATTATTCGGGTTTAATTTTTGTTGTTGTTATCTTGCTTTTTAATTAATATATTTACTAACCTCGTTGTTATTTTCTCGTAGGCTGCGGAGGACGTCGATATTTACAACCAACGGTATTATCTCAAGCAAGGACCGTTGGATCCAACCGACTTGTACGACCAACCCAACCATCGGTCAAGGGATGTTTGGAACGCTCACCCGGTACATACAATTCTTTACCATTTGTCCTTCTTTTATTCTTTACCATTTGTCCTTCTTTTAATCGTGTTGGTTGTTTTCAATAATTTAATCGAATACATTGCGCCACTTACTTCGACTCTTTATAAAGAGATGCACGTCTAAGGAAATGGGGTTTTAAGCGATTATCATATCCTCCCATTCCCTGGGAAAATCGCTTATTAAGAGAACCTCGGATCCCCCCTTTTTCTGTCAACAAGACTGCGTTTCTAAGAAGATGTATACCTCTTCTAAGAGTCTAACGAGTGTTGCTTTGTATTCGATTAAATTATTTAAAACAACCAAAACGATTAAATAATTTACCAAACAGTCCTTACGATTTATTTTTATGTGTACAAATGGAATTTTATTAAACTCAAACAATTGAATATGTATGTTTCTCTTTAAAATATTGATTCATTAACAATGTCATTTAATTTAGTTAATTTAGTATGTTTATTTTACGATAATTAGTATGTATCTCTTTAAATTATTATTCATTTAGAATGTTATTATGTTAATTAATTTAGGATGTTCGTTTTATGAAAATATGTATGTATCTCTTTAAATTATTATTAATTTATAATGTTATTATGTTGATTAATTTAGGATGTTCATTTTATGATAATATGTATGTATCTCTTTAAATTATTATTAATTTATAATGCTATTATGTTAATCATATGAAATGTCTTTTTATGATAATAAAATTCTGCTTCAATTTAAATAATTTAATTTAAGCAATTTAGTTATAAGGATTAAACCCTTACTAATATATAATAATTAACGTGTAAATTTTCTCTAGGAGGCACAAACAATAATCCGTTATAGGGGTACGACCAATGTGCTCCCATTCCACCCAGCCATCTTGCCCTTTCTCAAAAGGGCACGATTGGACTCGATTAGGCATTTTAACGGCATCAAAGTTGATCGCCAACTCATCACCGCCCTAGTTGAGAGATGGAGAAAGGAGACACATTGCTTCAACTTGAGAGAAGGAGAGGCCACCATCACACTAAAGGATGTCGCCATCCTAACCCATCTCCCCATCGACGGCAAACCCGTGTGCGTGAGTGATCATGCCCCCGACGATGTCGACGGTATGCCCGGTTGGGTTCATTTCATCTATAGTGTTTTGGGAGTAAAAGTAGCAGTGAAGGGGCAAGTTGATGCGACCGATCGCATGCCACCAATGAGGAAACACCAAGTGTCAATTACTTGGTTGACGAAGTACTTTAGAGAGCATTACGAGAGTCATCCCCTAACCGAGGAAAGTCCGGAGGATGAGATCGAGAGATATGCTCCGGTCTATCTCATTGGCATGATCGGAGGAGTGTTCTTCTCCAAAAAAGCAAGCAATCTCCTTAGTTGTGGATGGCTTAGGATCATCCTCGGTAGTTGGGAGGAGATGGGGGAGTATAGTTGGGCATCCGCTTGCCTAGCTAATATCTACCACAACTTGTGCAATGCCTCTCTAAAAGCTGTGAGGGAGGTCGGCGGCGCAATGTTCATCGTCCAATTTTGGGCTTGGGAACATATGCCATGGCTTGCACCGGTACAACGTCCCGACCGGGATTGGCCAATCGATCATCCCCTAAGAGGGGAAGCTTATGGAACAAGGTAAACTTCTCATACCCATCATGTTTTTTCTTGGTTGATTTTCCCTTGTGTTTTAGCTTATTGTAATTTCGATTATTGTTTTATTAATAAGGTGGATCGGACACTCAACTTGTGACAACCTTGCCCAACACAAGTTGGATGAGTATCGGCGGAGGTTTGAGCGACTTTGGGAAGGAGAGGTAACTTCTATACTCCGATCCATTTATACCTTTTTGCCATGGAAGACATGTATTTTTCCAATTCTAACTATCTTAATTTACTCATTTTGCGCGTGTAGATCATCTTCGATCCATACCCGGAGAACATCGTTCATTGGCATCTCCAGCAATTCCCCGAGCATATCGGCCAATGGTGCACGAGGGTACCTCTCATTTGTTTTGGGATCGTGGAGTGGCACTTGTCGGATCGATGCCTCCGTCAGTTTTGTCGGGAGCAGTGCATTCCATTGGAGGTCCCCGAAAGTCAAAAGGCCTTCCATGGTCGAGATGGGCGGCAAGGTACTCGAGATTGGCCCTTGAAGCTGGCGAAATTCATCGCCATGTGGAATGAACGACAATCGCAAGATATTGTCACTCCATCAGCAGTGGGGAGAATGGGGTATCATGACCCGTACTTGGATCGATATCGGCAAACATCGGTTCGTTACATGACTCCGGAGGGTGCTGCCGATGGTGCATTAGTAAGTATATTCGACTCTACATAATTAAATGTATTATTTTAGCTCCTAAATTGTTTCCTAACTTATTGTTTTGTGATTTAGACTAACGGGATTGAGCGGATTAAAGACATTACTACCGGGAGAGTGGAGCTGGGAAATGAAGATGTGAGCTTCATCAGGCGGATGGCAAACAGTCTTCTTGGCTGTATCAGAGCTCAAGGGAGGGATCATCGTAGATATCCGCCCATGCCCGCACCGCCGCCACCTCCGGTACAAGTTGATGTCTCCGATCCCCCACCACCATACGAGAGGAAGCCAAGCAAGAGGGTCCGGGAAAGGCCCATCGAGCCCGAAGTCACGCCATATCCCGGGTGGAAAGTACCGCCTCCATTGGTTGTTCCCCAAGGTGTCGGCCCGAGATCCCCCCAAGTCGGCGGCCCGAGTTCACCCCAAGGCGCCGGCCCGAGTTCCAGCCAAACTGGCCACCAAGGCTCGTACTACGATCCTCGGGCGACATACCATCAAACTCCTCCGAGTCCCACCCCGATCTCATACAACGATCCCCGTCAAGGATCGTACTACGAGTATTGCCCGATCTACCACCCATCTCCCCGCCAAGGAGGTTACCACGATTACCGCCCGGTCTACCCACCATCTCCCCGCCATACATCATCGGGTACTTGGCATGATGGTTCCTCCGCGACGGCACACCACGATTTTACGCCATGGGCTCGCCCTCATCAGCAGTGGATACCTACGACTCACCGTACTTCCGTGGATGTCCCCCGCTCAACCCCGGAAGTGCCGATTCCCCGCCGTCATAGCACCGACGACCGCCAAACTACCACGGCCCGAGTTCGAAACTTGCCACCGCCGCCACCGATTGTTACTCCCGTCGGTCGACGTACAAGGAGCAAGAAAACCGTGGGATCGACTGAAGCTCGTGGACTTCCTTGAGCGGATTTAGGATAGTTGAATTTAATTTCTATGTAATTTGAACTATTCCTATTATCTTAGTTTATCGAATTGATTGTTGTTTCAATTTGGTTTTATTTCCATCCCCTTGGAACTATGCCTTTTATTTCCAATTAGTTCAATCAACAATACAGTGGAGATAAGTAATTTGATTGAAAATTCTGGGTTCTAACCCAACTTCGAGCCAATGAACGATAAAATCAACAATACACAATGATATGATCTGAATTCCACCCTTGAATCATCTCAAACAAATCGTTCAAAGATCGGGTCAAGTTAATACGAACAAGGCTGGAATTTTCCTAAGTGTTGAGACAGTTTTGGGAAGGGTACTTTGGAAGGCCATATCAGTCAAACCCTTCACTGGAAATGCAAGGTTAGGGTCTCATTTTGAACCTTGGATGTTTGTTTATAGTTTTATGCATTTGGTTTGTGGAAATAAGGTCAGGAGGATTGCTTTCCAACACCATCAAAACCCTACTCGTGCACTATGGAATCTGCTTGTTTTTTGCTAAGGCATGAAAACAGTTTGAGGTACCAACTTTGAGCTCGAATTCAAGGAGTTTGGGGCATGACCAGCTGGAGCTTGGAGTTGGGAATGAAATGGCAAGACTTTCTAAACCAAGGGAAGGAATTGGTTGAGCTCGACTCAACCCATAATACCGATTTCCAGAACCACAAAGTTGACATCAAAGGCTGTTTTGGAACAGTTTACTTGTGAGAGAAGTTAGTTACTTAGGATGCAAGTTTTGTCTGT